ATGCGAGATCTTGGTTCGGGTTGTGCTACGGGTCGAGTCGCTCGCTTGAAAACACGTAGATCCTTTGGGATTAGTAGGACCAAAATGACATCGTTTTCAATAGGTACATAAGGCTAATTCTCAACATTTTCAGCAGAATTCTTCTTTCCCCTTTCTCTCTTCCTCCTTCTTTCGTCTCCCTCTCTCTCACTTGGATGAACACTAGTTAAATCTTCATCGAATTCTAGAAAACGTTGCCAGAATCTGGGTTAGTTCATTGGAATGTCGCTAAAAAATTCAACCGACACTGGAATCTAGGCCACATTTTGGGAAACTTGTCAAAAAATTCAACAGACACTGAAAAATTCAATCGGCGTCAAAAAATTTCATCGAAATCTAGAAATTTTCCAAAAAATTTCCAAAAAATTTTCTTTTCTATTTAACAAAACTTCAAAAAAATTTTCCTTCTGCTTATTGTGTTTCTAATCTATATGTTCTTTTTTCTGCTTCTGATTTTCTCTTTTTATGTGTTTTTGATCTATCTATTCTATTTTTTTTCCTCCTGTATCTCTGTTCTGTGTGATCTCTCTACCTCACGTAATCTTTCTGTAATCTTTGTGTGAATTTTATAGGAAAATTTAGAAGAATCCTTGATTAACTCAACCTTTGACAAGATTTTGATATTATCAGAAACTTTGGATTTTCCTTCAACAAATTCAATCTCTTAAAAAAAATCAGCATGCATTCACATAGTAAAATTTTATCTTTTCCCCTTTCTTTTTGCTAATGTCCTAAAATAAAATAAATAATAAAATAACACAAATAAAAAAATAAGAATAAAATAACAAACACCTAGGCCTAACTACTTGGCCCCAATGAACCAGGCCTAATGGGCTTAGGCACAAATCCTAATAGACCAAGCCTAATTGGTTTAGGTCAAGACTGATTAGGGTGTCTACAGCTACCCCTCTTTGCGCATTTCCTATGCAACAAGAATTGTGTAAAAACGTAGACACCCCACATATGATCACCCCAACACTTTTTTTTTTCATTTTTTTTATTTTTGTTTTTTTTTTAACAAGTAAACAAAGCTCCTCTAAATAGAGGCTCAATGACTTTGGAAAAATAAATAAAACTCCTCTAATTAGAGGCTCAACAACTTTGAGAAAAATAAACAAAGCTCCTCTAATCAGAGGCTCAACAACTTTGAAAAAATAAAAGGCTTCTCGACAATCATGTCCAGAGGTATCGTAGATTAGACCTGATGAAATTTGTCATGCAAACTCAAAATTCAAAGGTTCAGATTCGCAAGAACCTTTCAGCTTCACAAGAACTCACTGAAATTTGATTCTCAAAATTTCAACTATGTAAGAATTCAATTTTGTAGGATCTTAAGATTTGCATTTGCAAGACTCACATCCAACATTTAAAGATCTCATTCAGATTTTGTGGATTCTTATCCAAAAGTTCAAAGCTTTTCGTTTGAATTCAAAAAGTTCACATTTAAGAAATCTTAGAGTTTCACATCTTCTCACTCAAAAATTTAGATATTCACATCCAAAAGTTGAGTTCAAAGCTTTTCATTTGAATTTTGGAGATTCACATCCGAAAGTTCAAAACTTTTCATTAGTTCAAAGATTCACACCCAACAAACTTTAGGGTTTCACATCTCAAAGATTTTCATTTGAAATTCAAAGATTCTCATTTGAATTTGAAGATTCACATTCGATAAATTTTGGGTTTCACATCTCAAAAATTATTATTTAAGACTCAAAGATTCTCATTTGAAATTCAAAGATTTTCATTTGACACTCAAAGATTCTCATTTGAGGATTTCTTAAAGATTTTCATTTAAGACTCGAAGATTCTCATTTGAAGATTTCTTAAAGATTCTCATTTAAGAAATTAAGATACTTATCAAAAGATTCACAATTTCTTTTTCGGTGACTCAAAATTTTATATGTCATGATTAAGGATGCAAATGCAACAATATGGATTCACATAATAACGTAGATGCCATATCCTAAATCATGATTTCAATGTTTGCTAGCTGATGCATGGCCAAACAAAATTTTAAATATTCACCAAATCATGTACATGTACTGTTCAAATGACGAAGCAAACATAATACATGTAATGCAGATAAATGTCATGAAATTGTGGTAATATGGTTCTCAAGACCCCACCATCTCACATTTCATGAGTTTTATCAACTTATCACTATTATTTTCATCACTTGACCACCATTCATAGGCTTATCAATAGTAACTATTTCAGAACAAATTTTGTCTATTGATCTATACTATTTTCATCGCTTGATCACCATTCACAGGTTTTTCAGCACTAGCCATTCTAAAATGAATTTTGTCCATTGATTCTCATCATTTGATCACAATACATAGGTTATGTCGATCAATCTATCACTATATTCGTCTCTTGATCACATCATCTTTTTAGATCTTATTAAGCAATCCATTACCATGTTCAACATTTGGCCATCCCATGTGTCATTTTTCAAGTTTCTACCATCTCTTCATCATTTTTACTTCCGATCATTCTGGATTTTTTTTTCAAAAGAATGCAAGAACCTTTTAAGCACATATTCATTCATTCATTATCATTTCAATTCTTGACAAACACAATGCAATCATACATTTCCTCAATTCATTATAGGGAAGTGAGAATAAAAGTGCACAAGGTGCAGTAGGAGAAAAGCAATCAATGAGGAGTGAGTTTTGGTACAAAAGTAAATGGGGAAAAAAAACAAGTTGGATGTATGTCATTAGGACAAATGAATATTCTGACAATTTTGAACATTAATTCAAGATTTTTTTTTGAAAACTCATTCCATTAACTGTCGAAATCATTTTGAGCTCATCAAACTTTGCCCTAGCTTTAAAGGATCTTTAGATGCCTTGATCTTCCATATATTTGAATTGTTCATCCAATTTTCAGCTTAGAGATTTGTCTACCCAAATTGCCCTTTCGGGTTTTCAATTTGAGTCTTCTTTTTTCTTTTCATCTTTTTTTTTTTATTTTCTCTTATTTTTTCATTTTTCTCTTTTTCTTTTTTTTCATCCATTTTCCCTTTTTTTTCTCTTTTCCTTTTTCATCTTTTTTCATCCATTGTTGATATCTCTCACACATTAATCTCTAGAACAATATAACGTGATTCCATTATTCTATCATGAGCATGTCTTCGCCTAACATATGATCATTCAATTCAAGCATTCATACTTGATCCAAATAGACTTTTCAAGGTTATAATGTAGGCCATGGTGAGGGATCATAAAATAAAGATAAAATAGGCTCAAAACATGTCTTTAAAGGTTTCAAAACTAAAGGATCATTTATTATTTGATGCAACTTGGCATTTTGCCCCATTCCACATTATTTCACTACTTTTTCTTTTTTCATCGATCTCATTCTTCACAAAAAGATTCCCCTTATTTTGCCCCAAATCATTTGTGGCATTCATTTCCTTTTTTTTTTCTCTTTTTTCTTTGTTTTGCTTTTCTTTCTTTCTTTTCTTTCTATCTTTGAGACCTTTTATGATTCTTTTTTTTACCTTTTTTTTTTAAATGCCCTCCAGTGTAAAAGGTGATCCTTGGTCATGGTTTTTTAGAAAAAGAAATCATAATAGGCTCAAAGGGATAGCAATGAATGGTTTTTCGAATAGTAAAAGAAAGATAACCATTTTTCATCTCAAATGTGAATGCTTTATTTAAAGATCATCTATTAAACAAAAACAAGCTCATGGATCTTCATAAATGATTACATCTTCAAGATATATCCATCTCATATCTGTTAGTAACTTTTTTTCAAATAATCACTTCAAATCAATGTGAATGAGTTCTCAAAATTAAATCTCAGAATTATTGTTAGCATCATTATCTAAACATTCATCATTCAGAGTTCAAAAATGGAAACGAAAAGTTATGAAAGGTGACAAAGAATAGAACAGTGATTGAATAAAAGAGAAAATGTAATGAAATGGATTATCCTTGCCTTTTATTAAAACGATAACAAATGCAATCTTATTGCATAAAAGAAATTCTAACATTACTTTAAAGGAAATCCTAAAATGACACGTAACTTCCAACCAGCTTTGACATCCTTTTCTAAAATCATGCCCCTGTATAATCAAGTGAAGGATTTTTATTAACATCTTACCCCCCTAATTCATCGAAACTCACTAAGCCTTTATGGATCAAACTTTGCACTTTATGTTTAAAAGTAGGGCAAGTTTTAATAGAATGACCCACATTCCCATTATGATAATCGCACATCGCATTAGCATCATACCACTTTGGATAAGGTGGTTTCAATGGTTCTAGCATAATTAGAGATACCAAATTGTTCTTGACCAGTTCTAGGAATAACTCAGTGTAAGTCATGGGGATTGGGTCAATATGTGCCCTTTCTTGATTATCTCGAGATCTCCTTGAGCCACTCGCTTGGTTGTTAGGCTTTGAAACTATTATAGTGATATGACTAGAATCATATGCAGGTACTTGAAAGGCTGATTGGTAAGTTGGTAAGTAAGCCAATTGTAGATATGGCTGGTAAAGGTAAGGTGAAATATTGTTTACAGTAAGATAGTATGGGGCATAACCTTGTGGTAGATAGGGTTGGTATCCCTTGAATTGTCTATCAAGGCTCGCAGCTTGATCTTCAGTCTTTTTCTTCTCTGGCACCTTTTTGGTTTCCCCTTCTTTCAACTTACCATTTTTAATGGCATTCTCAATGATTTCACCTGAGATCACTATGTCAATGAAATTTTTTGTGGCATTCCCTATCATTTTTTCATAATATGGAGATTACAAAGTGCTGACAAATAATACTGTGGTCTTTTTCTCAGCTAATAGAGGCTGCACTTGAGAGGCTATGTCCCTCAATCTCTGGGCATATTCATTGAATGATTCAGTCACTTTCTTTTCCATATTCTGCAAAGACAGGTGATTAGAGGCCAAGTCTATAGTATGTTAGTACTAACCAATGAAGGCATGGGCCATATCACTCTAAGAACAAATGTGGGTCTTATCCAACTGGACATACCACCTAGCAGCAGAGCCCGTGAGGTTATCTTGGAACACATGCATTAATAGTTTCTCATTCTTAGCATGGGCAGCCATTTTTTGACAATACATGATAATGTGGGTCTTCGGACATTTTGTGCCATCGTATTTTTTAAATTCTGGCACTTTGAACTTTTGAGGAATAACAACATCTAGGATCAAACAGAGCCTAGCAGCATCCACTAAACCATAAGAACCAATGCCTTCTACTGCTTGTAACCTTTTCTCTAACAAGTTTATCTTTTGTTTAGCTTTTGAGGCTTTTAAAATCTCCTTCTCTTTGGGCCTCAGCTTCTTTTTTTCTTTTAGATCATCCAAATTAGGGACTGGTATTAGTTCTACTACAATCTTAGTAAAGATAGGATTTACATAACTCTGATATTGCCTTAAATTTGAAGTTGATGGTATTCCAGGGTATGTGTACCCTGCAAGATAGATAAACTGCTGTGGTGGTGGACTTGTGCGGGTTGGGCTTGATGTGGCCCAAAAATTAAAAGGTACAGTGGGTCATCCTCCTCTTGTGAGGGATGGTCTTGTTGGCTGGTATTCTCCTTTACATTTTTTCCCTTATTTAACTTGTTCAAAGCCTTCAAAAACCTATTCAACTCTCCTTCTAGCTTTTCTTGAGCTTTCTTTATCCTTTCGAAATGATTGAAATTTTCTTATTCCATTTGTCTGGCTTGAGCTCTTATATTGTATTGATGAGTAAAGTTGCTTGGTGGAGCTATCCTCGAACCTTGAGCACCATAATTTTGATTAAAAATGATATGCTATGCTTTATGTATGATATTTTAATGCATGAATGAAATGTACATTTTCATGGATGAAATCTAATATGACAATGATGCATATGCACAACGTTACATATGACAATAAAAATGATGCATGACATGATAATGCAAATGCACAAAGTCAAACAATCAAAACAGTTACATAAACATAACTTATTCCTTATTGTGTCCTAGTTTCGGGGTATATCTATCATTGGGTAGGAAGGGCTCTATCTTAGGGTTGGCCTTTTAAGTGTACACTATATGTTGAGTTAGACAGTTTTGACCACTAAAGGTTCCTAAATTGTTCCTTACATTATCGTCCATCACAGACTAGTAAGGTAATCTAAACCTCACCCATCACAGGCTACCAACGAAAATGATTCAATTTGAGTGAGAGTATCTCACTAGCCACTGCAGAGGCATTAAAACCTCATGAAAGCATAGGTACTTTACTCTCTCCTAGAGGGACAAAACTTGAGTATAGAGCTCATGTTATGCATATGCATATGAATGACATAGTTTGCAACATAAATAAATACAATGAATAGAAAAGAAAAAAAAAGAAAAAAAAATCCTTACAAAGAATTCAATTTTATAAGGTTTTTTTAGATAACACAAATTTATTTGTTAGCTTGACTCTCGGCTGTCCCTAGTGGAGTCACCAAACTGTTATAACGTTTAGATCCATAAACCTATCGCTAGACATTGACTTGAGGAGTCGCCACCAATCTTTTTCATTTAGGTGCAATTGGCCACCAACTGAATCTGCCCCTTCTAAAGAGGAATCCTAAGTTCGATTTAGGTATCTCTAAAAGATAAATTCAATGTCTGTGAAACCAAGACTAGGTCCGATAGTACAGTTACGTATGAGAAAGGTTATAGCACACTCACAATGCCCATCAGATGATGGTACTAGCATAATTTCGTGTTATCCAATAAGCCTTAAAAATTTATCAAGTAATTAATTATTATAAATTATTCTTAATTGACTCCAATACTTTTGGTAGAAAAATTAAGAAAATTCCCTCACCTCAAAAGTATACAAGAAAACTATTATTTTTCTTGCAGAGGCTCCATCGTCAGATTATTTAACATTTAAAAATTTTTCAAAGAAAGAAAGAAAAAAATAATAATAATGATTCGACTTTTCATATAAATATTTTTCTTTTTGTTTTATATATAAAGAAAAAAAAAACACTCATTGCTTTTATACAAGGAAAATTAATACTTTCAACTTTTCCTTTAACATATTTTTTTGAAATTTTAATTTCAAGGAAAATTGATACTTTTAACTTTTCCTTAAAATGCTTTTGAAAATTTTTATTTTAGAAATTTTATTTTTAAAGAAAATTGATACTTTCAACTTTTCCTAAAAAATATTTTTTAAAAATTTTTATTGTCAAGAAAAATTGATACTTTCAACTTTTCCTCAAAAATATTTTTTAGAAATTAGAAATATTTTTTAAAAAATTTATTTATAAGGAAAATTGATATTTTCAACTTTTTCCCAAAAATATATATATTTTTTGAAATTTGTATTTTAGGAAAATCATTGACAAAAATAAATAAATAATTAATTAAAATTAAAATTAAAATTAAAAAAATAAGGAATACCAAATAATTATAATTTAGTCAATAAGCAAAAATAGTAATAATAATAATAAATAAATAAAACCTTGATGTTGCTCGGCTCAACGAATGAAACGGCTTGGCTTGAGGCATACAGACCGACTCAAAGGTGCGGCTTGGCGGCTTAATTTGCAGCTTGACTCAGTTTGAGCCTAGGCAGGGACGCGGGTTGCTGGTTCGGGTTACGCTACAGGTCGGGTCACCCGCTTGAAAATGCGCGGATCCTATGGGATTAGTAAGGCCAAAACAACGTCATTTTCAATGGGTATATAAGGTTAATTCTCAGCCTTTTCAGCATAATTCTTCTTTCCTCTCTCTCTTCACCCTTCTTTCCTCTCCCTCTCTTTCTCTCTCTACCCGGATGAACATTGGTTGAATCTTCACCTAATTCTGAAAAACGTTATTGGAATCTTGGTTGGTTCATCAAAATGTCATCAAAAAATTTTACCGACACTGGAATCTGGGCTAGATTCTAGGAAACCTGTCAAAAAATTCAACCGAGGTAAAAAAATTTCATCGAAATCTGAAAATTTTCCAAAAATTTTTTTTTCTATTTAACAAAACTCTAAAATTTTTTCCCTCTGCTTGCTATGTTTTTAATCTATCTGTTATCTTTTCTACTTCTAATTTTCTCTCTCTATGTGTTTCTGATCTATCTGTTTTGTTTTTTTTCCTCCTGTATCTTTGTTCTATATGATCTCTTTGCCTCGTGTAATCTTTTTGTAATCTTTTTGCCAATTTTATAGGAAAATTTAGAAAAATCCCTGATTAACTCAACCTTTGACAAGATTTTGATATTATTTGAAACTTCAGATTTTCCTTAAACAAATTCAATCCCTTCAAAAAAAACCAACATGCATTCACACAGCAAAATTTTATCTTTTCCCTTTTTTTTTGTTAATATCCTAAAATAAAAAAATAAAAAAAATAATAAACACCTAGGCCTAAATACTTATCCCCATTGAACTGGGCTTAATGGACTTAGGGCCAAATCCTGTTAGACCAGGCCTAATGGGTTTGGGTCCGAATCGATTAGGGTATCTACAAAAATGAAAGATTGTTTATGCCGAATAGTAAAGAAAACAAGAATAAGATTTTTTAAATGAGAAAATAATAAAATAAATCTTCTAATGAAAAAACTTTTTGATTAAAATAGATTTAAAAAACAAAAATCTTGGTAATTGTCAAATTTGTCCCCTAAGCCAATACCTTAACTCTAGAAATAAAGAACTAAAAAAACTAAAAGAAAGAGGAAAAGTGAGGAAAGGGATCGATGAAACAAGTGAATAGCCTTGCCTATTTATAGGCATAGGTTTAGCCAAAATGGTGGGCTTTACAAGTGATTGAAGTTAATTCCAAAACTAGGAGATAAAGCTCTATCTTAATCTTTAAAGTTGCATACAAAAATCAAACTCTTCATTTTTGAAATGCTTTGGCTGAATAGAATGATCTTGGCCCTTGATCTTCATATGATGTAATCTTGATCAAGCTTCCTTCTTAGGTTTGTCTAAGATGAGATTTCAAAAGGAGATAAGTTACATTTTATTCAAACTCTTGAACATCAAAGTGACAAAGTTCTCATCTTGTCAAAACTCTTTAAGACAAAGAAAAAGTATCATGATTGGCTTCCAACACCTCTTAGCCAAATGGATTGAGCTTAGGGAGTTCATGGTCTACAAATTCTCTGTCCCTCTTGCTTAGTCAAATGTGATACTATCATTATGCACGTCAATCATTTCATGGCTTATCAAACAAACACATTTTTCTTGCAAATCCACCTTGGCCAAATGGATTATGATTCAATTGGGCTTAGGCATGATTGAATGTGGACCAATGGTGTGTGGCATTGTGCTTGCATAGTTAGGTTGAATGTGAGTTTTGCATGATTACATGCATGGCTTATATGAAAATGAATCTTATGCTTGAAAAACCTAAAGCCATGAAAATAGCATGAAAAGCACCAAAAATCATCTAAAATTTTAAATTTTAACAGTATTTTAACTTGTAAAAACTATATATATTTTGGTGCTATCACACCCCCACACTTGAATCTTTGCTTATCTTCAAGTAAAATTTCAAATCAATAAAACTAAAAACATCATAACCATCTTCAAAGTTAAAAATTATACAAAACTCTTTAACATGTACTATTGCATAATACAAAGTTAAGAATAAATATAGAATCACAAGCATGTCTTTCAAAAGCAAGCTTTCAGTGACTCATGCTAATCATACATACAAATCTACTCCATCTTTAAATCATGCATACAACTCAAGCAAATAGAATGTAAAACACTTCATCACATTTCAATTTAAAGATAGAATAGGCTTCATATGTCCATTTTTCCCATCCCTTTCTATTAATGTTAGACCTTTATATTCAATTTAAAATCAAAAGGTCTTTTAGGCTTATAATGTAAGGCTTGGGTCAAGGTAGAAAAAAATGAAATTTTAGGCTTAAAACCCTAAGTTGACTTTTTCTTTAAACTTCTTGGACTTTGAACAATTGAGAACTTTTTTTGAGACTTTGACTTGTGAAGCATTCTTTATTGCTTTGTATTTTTTACATTTTCTCTTTTTTTTTTTTTAATGATAGCCATTTTTGGCTTTAATAGGCTTTACTTTTACTTTTGCCAATTTTCATGCTTTCCTTGCACTTTTTTACCTCTTAAATACAAGACTATGTCTATGATAAACAAGTAAAGCATAGTGGGTAAGGACAATAAAAGAAAGGATAATAATACAAAAAACTTATTGGGCTTGTAATGTGGTTAAATAAACAAAAAAAAAGATTAATATAAAGGCTCAAAATAAGGGTAGTAAGGATACATAAACATAAGGTAGACTTGAAAAAGGCTTAAACGATCCAAAGAACTGCCAAGATCATCTCTTGAGTCAAATACAGTTTATTATTTTGCCTAAAGGGTTGAGTAGAACACTTATTCAAATCTTAAATTTCATACAAATCTATATTTCACAAAACTTTATAGGAATTATGGCATTCCATATAATGATAATAGAGATGCATGCATAAAAATCATATTCAAAGTAAAGACATGCTTAAGAATTCTTCCAAGTTTCACTACATCCATACTTAAACTCCATATCATACTTTAGTCATTCAAGAGAATATATATAATTTCCAACTAAGTGAATACCATAATGAAGCTTAGAAAGTCAATTTGCTTTTGAAAGCAAAGATGAGTTAAAATAAAAAAATTAATTCTTTTCCCCTACATTTAAATGGAATCATATATCAAGAAACTTAAAGGAAAAAGAAATACTCCCTAAAATTCTTTAAGGTTGAATATCCATGATGCATCTTCCTTGCTTTTCTTCATCCCTAAGAAATAAAAAAAACTCAAACAAAAATATTAAAACATACTTGTCCTAAAAAAAAATCAAGAAATCATAACCTTTAAAATAGAACTTGGGTGCCTCCCAAGGAGTGCTACTTTTGTTCAAGCTTAACCATCCTCAAATCTTTTCATCCCTTAGGAAGGAATTTTCCTTGTTGTCTTTTTTTTTTTACGGTATAACATAAAGAGACTTAGTTTAAAGAGGTGGGTTGACTCTTCTAGTAGGGATTAAACTGAGCTTAACTTTTTGGAAAGGTTGACAATATTGGAGCTAGGGTTTGCTAAGTTTTTCAGAAAGTCAAGAGGTTTTACTAATAGGTTAGACTCTTTTAGGGTTTCCTTAAATTCCCTAATTGTGCTAAAACTTTCTTCATTTCTTATCACACCATACCCTGCAAATATAAATTACATTTTCTTATGTTTAAACTTAAGGGTAATGCTAGCCTTCTACACATCTATCAAGGCTTTTGTAGTGAATAGGAAAGGTCTACCGAAAAGTAAGGGAGCTTGTTCATCCTCCATGTCTAAAACAACCAAATCTATGGGGCAAACATATTTTTCAACTTTCACCAAGAGATTTTTTAGCATCCCTTATGGTAACTTAGTAAATTGATCAGTAAACTTAATGTTAAATATAGAAAGTTTCAACTTTCCACAACCTAATTGCATAAAAACATTCATAGGCATTGAATTTATGCTTGAACTAAGATCACAAAGTGCATCAAAGAATTTCAATCCAATCGTGCAAGGTATAGTAAAACTCTCTAGATCTTTTAACTTTTTGGGTAAGAGTTGTTGAAGCTCAGGGTTGTAATCATCTAAAAATATGGTTTCTTTTAGTTCTTTAAGTAACTCCTTAGGAATAGGCCTTGGGGTAGGTAGGTTAACATTGAAACACTACCTGTACATTCTAGCAGTCATCTTTGGCCTTTGCTAATTCTTTTTTTTAATTTCTTCTTATTATTATTCTTTAGGATCTTCTTATTTGGGGTCCTCCTATTGCATTACCCCTTTTCCTTGGTTATTTTGGATAGGTGCACCTTGGGCTATCTTTTTAGGCAAAATGTTTTCTACTAATGCTTTCCCTACTTGTAGTATTATTTGTTTTTCTTAAGGATACCCTTCAATATATGCTTCTGGATCTTTCCCATAGGCCATCTCGTAAGTTTCAATAGCTTCAGGGGCTTTTAATGACATAGGGTCAAAACCTCCAAGATTTCTCTACCAAGTCTTACAAGCTTTTCATCTTCCAAAATATCCCCCTGCCAATAAAATTGACTTCAGGTTGTTTTACAAAGCTGGGTAGGTTGACAACTATGGGTTCATCATCTTCTTCATCAAAATCATCTATCGTAACATCCCCTAAAGAATATATTGCATTGCATCCCTTTTTACTTTTTTCTTAGAGTTAGTTTCAGTGTTACTAGGTAAAGTACTTACTGGGTGATTGGCTATGGTTTGACTTATTTGATTTCTAGGCTTTTTATGAATGTAGGTTGGCTTTAATGTAGGCATTATTAGCTTGTATCAACCGAGTCAACATATCCTCAAAAGTAGTTTTTTTCTTAGGGTGGGTTATAGTATGGTGGATTAGGGTGGTAGTTGTTGGTTTAGTTGTTGGTGGCATGGTGGTTTGGTTGATTCTAAGAAAAGTTAAGGTGGTTTTGCCAGCTAGGATTGTAGTTATTGCTATATGGATTATTACTTGATTTGTTTTGTTAGATGTAGTAGATAGATTCTGCCTTATATTGGCATCTTTCTGAGGAATGAGGACCTTTACATATGTCACAAGATACAAAAGGACTTTGTATGGCATTAATAGGGTTGGCTTGTGTTTAGTTTCTTAGGGCTTCAATCTTTTTTTGTATGGATAGCCAATTGAAAGTTAATGGAAGTAATAAGATCAACTTCAAATAAACCAGTAAATTTTTTACTAACCTTTCTTTCCATGCCCCACTGGTAATTACTGGCATCCATCTTTTTATTAGCTCATTAGCCACCTCAGGAGCCTTGCTCATTATAGCCCCTCCAGTAGCTGAATCTAAAGTGGTTTTCATGGGTGGTGTGAGACCATTATTAAATATTTGAATTTGGAGTCATTGAGGTAAACCATGATATAGGCATTTTCTATGTAATTTTTAAATCTCTCTCATTCATCATATAAGGTTTCACCATTAGCCTGTAGAAAAGTGGTGATCTCATTCCTTAACTTTGTAGTATTTGTTGGTGGGAAAAGCTTTGCCAAAAATTTCTAAACTAGATTATCCTATGTTGTAATTGAGCCTCATGGTAAAGAAGATAACCAATTTTTTACTTTGTCCCTAAAAGAAAAAGATGACAATCTTAGTCTAATAGCCTCATCAGAAACACCATTGTAATGAAAAGTATCACAAAGTTTAAGAAAATTAGAAAGATGTAAATTTGGATCATCACTTGGTAGTTCTCCAAATTGCATAGAAGTTTGGACCATTTCTTTAATTGAAGGCTTTATCTCAAAGTTATTGGTTTGAATAGCTGGCCTTCGGATGAATGGCTAAAAAACATCTACATTAGAAACTACATAGTACCTTAAAGTTCTTTGCCTTTCATTATTTGCCTTTACCATAGGAGTAGGTATTAGTGGTGTTGAATGCTTCTTTCTTTTTCTAAAAGTGTGTCCTAATGCAAGTGAAATTCTTCAAATGTACATCACATCTTCTTAGAAGTGATCTACTTGAATGGATGCAAAGACCTCATGCATGTAAAATTCATCTCTTGGCCGAATGGAAGGCCAATAATGTTTAAATAGTCATCTTTATTGCATGGCCAACTTCTATCTTGCATGCTTGCATGCATGGATTGCATATGAATCATGTTCCATGGTCTAGAACCTTAAAAATCAAGAAAACAACATTAATAGCACCAAATTTTACCAAAATTTAAAATTTTGCACTAATTTTAACTTGTAAAATCACTATAAATTTAGGTGCTATCACACCCCCCACACTTAAGTCTTTGTTTGTCCTCAAGCAAAATTCTCAAATCAATTAAACTAAAGATCATTATATATACTCACAAAGTCAAAATTTCATAAACTTTCATTCATGTACTGTTGCATAATACAAAGTAAACTATAAACATAGATTCATAAGAAATTCCTTCATAAAGTAAGCTTTCAATATCTAATAATCTCCATGCATATGAAATTACCCCATCTTTAATTCATACATATAAATCAAGTAAAAAGAATGTAAAATATTTCATCACATTTCAACTCAAAGTAAAATAAACTTCATATGTTCATTTTCTCCTTTCCTCTACACTAATATTAGATTTACATACTTGATTCATGATCAAAAGGTCTTTTAGGCTTGTAATGTAAGGCTTGGGTCAAGGTACGAAAAAGAAAATTTAGGGTCAATAACCCTTAGCTTATTTCTTGAAATTATTTGACTAAAGATTGAACATTTAAGAACTTTTTGACTTTGAGGCATTACTTTATTTTTGGTATTATTTTTTTTCACCTAGCCATTTTCAGCTTTATTTATAGGCTTTTGCCTTGCTTTTTCCTTTTCCTTTGCCAATTTTGGTTTTCATTCCTTGTGCCTTCCTTCTAAATAAACAATGTCCAAAAACATGTAAGAATATTGGGTAGGTAAAAATAGAAAAAAGTGATAATAATCAAATAAAAGGCTTGGGTTTATTATTATAGCTGAAATAAACAAAGGAATGATAATTTATAAAGCTCAAAATAAAAGTTCCTAGGGATGCATCAATAATAGTGGGCTTGAAAAAGGATCAAACGATCTAAAGAAATAACTAGATCATTTCTTAAGTCAAATATAGTCTAGAATTTTGCCTCAAGGGTTGAGTAGGTGAATTCTAAAGTAATAGTCTTATCTTCACATTTTTTTGCAACTTAACATCATAAAACTTTTTACAAGAATTATTGCATTTCATAGAAAGAGAATAAAGACATATGCATAAAAACCGTATCCAAAGAAAAGCAAACTTATGAATTCATTTCATTGCTTAACCACATTCACAATTATCCTCATATCATACTTAAGTCAATGTTGAAAAGTTCATGCTAAATTAACTAAGCTTGTATAACAAAGAAGTTAGCATGCCAATTGGGTTTGAAAATGAAGCAATAAGGGTAAAGATTTCAAAAATCATCTAAGTTTAAAAAGCATTATTTTCCTTTACACTTACATTAAGCACTATTTTAAATCAAATCTATTAAGCCTTTAGGAAAAAGAAATACTCCCCTAAAATTTTGCTTTAAGGCTGAATCATCTTTGTGTTCTTCATGGATCATCTCCTTGCATCACCTTACAAAAGCATTAAAATACAAAAACATATCAAAGCATACCAATCCTAAGAATAAAACAAAAAAAAAATAAATGCATAAACCATTAAAGTGAAACTTGGGTTGCCTCCAAAGTAACGCTAGTTTTGGTCAAGCTTGACCATCCCTAAATCTAAAAGTCATCTCTTCTTTTCAAGAGGGAGTTTTCCTTACTACATGTTCCCTTGTGGTATGACATAAGTGGAACTAGATTAAGAAGGTGTAGTAACTCTCTTTGTAGGGATAATATAAATTGGACTGGCATTCACTATAAGAGTTTTGGTTTTAGGCTTACCATGGCTGGCGTTTAAAGATCTTGCCAGGTGGACTGATGATAATGGGTAATGAGGTTTATAAGTCAAATCCAACTCTCTAAGGGTGTTTTTTTTACTTTTACTTTGGTTATTAAGTTTGCATCATCTTCATCTCTGAGAATGCCATACCAACTAGTTACAAACTATATCTTTTTATCCTTAAATCTTAGGGTAAGGTCATAGTCATACTTATCAACTAAAGCTTTGAAGGTTAATCAAAAGGATCTGCTTAATAGCAAAAGAGCTTCATTATCTTCCATATATAGAATTATGAAATCCACAGGAAAAGCATACTTACTAACTTTCACCAAAACATTCTCTAGCATTCCTTATGGTTTCTTGGCGAATTTATTAGTAAATTTGAAGGTACATGTTGAAAGTTCTGCTTTTCACATCTTAGCTACATAAAAATATTTAAAGGCATTAGATTGATACTAGACCTTAAATCCCAAAGAGTTTCATCAAATTTTAGATGACTAATTCTACAAGAGATAGTGAAACTCCTTGGATCTTTTTGCTTTTTTGGAAAGAGTTGTTAAAGTTCAGGACTGCAATCTTTAACAAAAGAGGCATTCTCCAACTCTTTGAGTAGCATTTTTAGGATAGTCTTTGTTGGTAGTGCTATTTCAAATTCTTGTTTTTGAGTGATAGTTCTTGGCGTCGATCTTAGCTTTTTGGTTTTATGAATTTCTTCTTACTCCTTCTCAAGTTGAATGCTTTCCAAAAGTGCTCTTCCTACTTGCATAAACATCTCTCATTCTTCAACTAATCCTTCAATGAATTCTTTAGGATCCTCCTCATATTCTTCAGGATCTTCTTCCATTTCAAACTTTTTTTCTATCTTTTTATAGGGTTCAATACTTTTAGGTGCTTCAAGTGCCATATGACCAAAACTTTTCAAAATTTCTCTTCCATACCTTAACAGCTCATCATCCTCTATTGGATCATCTATCCCTACAAAGTCCACTTCAAGTTGCTTAACAAAACTATGGAGATTTGCCACCACTGGGTCATCCATAATTTTTGCATTATCCTCATCCATTCCATCTTCCCTAAATGAGCATATAGCATCGCATGCTTTCTTACCTTGTCTCATAGGGTTTGACTTAGTATTGTTGGGCAAAGTTTCTATAGGTTGATTGGCTATGACTTGTGCAAGTTGACCAATTTAGTTTACAAGCTTCTTTATTGATATAGCTTTGCTTTGGATGGTTGCATTGTTGGCTTGCATCAGTTGGATTAACATTTCCTGAAAACTTGGTCTCTTTTCTTAGGGTAGGTTATAGGTTTGTGGATTAAGCCGAAACTTGTTTTGGTTGGTGGGTTGGTGGTTAGGTTGATTACAAGAAAGGGTGATTTTGCCAGCCTGGGTTATATGTATTGAATAGGGTGATTTCAGCTAGTCATCCTTATTGCATGGCCGACTACTATCTTGTATGCTTGTATGCTTGTATGCTTGTATGCTTGCATGCATAGATTGCATATGAATCATGTTCCATAGTCTTAAACCTTAAAAATCAAGAAAATAACATTAACAGCACCAAATTCAACTAAAATTTAAAATTTTAGACCCATTTTAACTTGTAAAATACTATAAATTTAGGTATTATTAGACATCATTGTTTCTATCAGGTTACATCATCAACCATCAATGTTGGAATAAGCTTAAAATTTATCCATTGATCCATCTTGACCCTCTTTCACATTAATTAAATAAATTTTCAACAAAAAAAATTGAAAATGCCTAAATCTATGAAAAAGATTCATGATTTCAATCCCAAAAAATCTCACCTTCATTGCTTCAAATTTCTTGTTTTTCATTATGTTTTTCTTTTCCACTTTTCCTCTACTTTGACCATTTCAAATTACCCTAAACTTTTTTTTTTTGCCATAATGAGCTGCCACTAGCAAAGCATCTCTGACAATGTTGTTTTTCTTTTTCTCCCTTTCCTTTATCTTTTCATCATTCACTAACGGACAAAAAAACTTCTCTTACCTAATATTATTCCATACCTGAGCCTTCCTCCATGCCTTTTTTTTTTCTCTCTTGATTTTTTTTTTATTTTGAATACTTTGATTTTGTTGAGAATCCTTATACTGCTAAATTAACATAGATTTAAAGTAATTTTTTTAAGGTTTAAACTTTTAAGAAAAGTTGGCTTGAGCAATTTAGGTTGCTGTTTTTTGGTGCGGTGGTTGTAGTTATTTTAAAAGGTAAAACTTGGTTTTGAATTTATTTAAAAGATCTAGTACTATAGTACCTCTTTAACTTAATTTACTATTTCAATTATGACTTTTTAAATTTATTCAATCCTAGCAAAAAAGTTAAAAGGAAAAAAGCAATTTTACCTTTATTTTCTTACCAAGTAAGAACATATAATTTGTTTCACTCAATTTCAACATACATGGTTTA